AAACCCCTTTATTTAAGAGAATTGCCGTAGAATTTTTTTAAGCGAGAAAACCCTTTTGGGTTTATTAAGAAATCAGAAGGGTTTTCGCGAAAACATATAGATTTTTCATGCAAAGTGTGATACCCTCATAGTTTATTAATCCAACTCCGATGTCTTTTTGGGTTTATAAAAAACGCCTTTTTAGAATTCGGAAGGATATGTTAGGAAATCCTATCGCTAATGAACCCTTAAGCGTTCAGGAAAACTGTCGATAAACCTTTTTCCGTTCCGAAGGAAAAATGCGAAACGGTTAGCGTTTTTTAAAATACGGGTTTTTGTACAGCAGATTTTTGTGTGAGGGCGAAAGATTTCATAGTTTGTAAAGTTCTGTAGTACAGTCTTTGAATTTACATTACTGTGACAAATATGCCTGTTTTCATTTTTGAATCCGCCACAGTTATCAAATTTAAACCGTATCGGCGGTTGTTAGCGTTCATAACTTTTGACGCATAGATTAGTTCAGAAGAACTCTGCAGTTTAACTCGTGTGTTCTTTTTTTCAGATGAAACTTCAGTTATATTAGTGCAAGATTTCAACTTGACATTGTGCCAATGCTGTTGATCAAATGTTGATCGTATATCTGAACTATCATTTGCCGGCTTCAGTATTTTCATATCGATTTTGATTTAAGTGACTGTTATTGGTACCAGCATCATCAATAACCGCCCATTTACAAGTTTATTGTCAGTTACACTTTCCTCTAATTCGATAGATTCAAGTCACAATCTGTTTCAGTGGATCTGGAATAATATGAAGAATTATGTGTTTTAAGTAGGAAAGTTCGGGAAGCGCACTACAGAGCCAGTTTTTCGATTTACTAATTGTCAAATCTAAATACATGAGTTTATGGGTGGATTGGAAGAGCGACGCGAGATCGTCTGTAAAACAACTGATTGTCAAAAATGCAATATTATTTAGCACGGGTTGAATGGAAAAATTTGAAATTGATTGACATGTACGAACACGATGAAATTCAAAAGTGTCAAGTTGAGGTAAATGGTTTTGATACAAGATCATAATCACCGCCTTATTTTAAGCTACAAAGTCAAACATCGATTCATCGATAATGAACATGGATAGAGTTTTCAGCTGCTTTAAATCTAACAGAAATCTGTCTAAATCGGAAGTTGAACACGTTGCTCCTCACAGTGATAATGATTCGAGATGAATAAATCTTTTTAAATCACACGAAGATAAAAACACGGACATCCAGAAATTACACGCATTGTCACTGAGGATGGATTCCCCTCACCAGTACCGTGCAATTCCAACGACACTATCCGTTCATATATCTCTGACAAAGTATTTGTACAAAATGGGACAATATCATTAAACGGAACATAGGCCATACTCAAATGAAAACGACGACGTTAATCGAGTAATAAGTTATTGAAACGAGAATTGAGCGCCCACATGGATTTAAGTAGATGATACACATCGAGATATTTAAATACCAAAAAATGGACTTCATTAGGTAGATTTAAATCATCTTATTTCTTACTTAAATCTATTAGGTAGATGTTCGTATGCCAACATTATTCTTTTTCGATCTAAAGTACAATAATCATGTTAATAATAATAATAAATTACAGACTGCTTCCCCGTCAAATTTTTTCTAGAGAGGTACAACGGTAAGGCATCTGGCTGATAGAATGCACAACATAAGTCAGAATTTAGACAATTACAATTTTATACTGACTGTTGTTCTTGACTATTCAAAAGCAGTTGACAAAGTGTGGCATTCTGATTCACTCAGTAAATTGAAGTAAAAGGTAAAACTCAAAATTTTAGGCCCATGGATTGAAAAAAATTAGTTCAGTCTAGTCCGGTTCCAGTCGATTGAGTAAATAGTTCAATGAACTTTGCAAATTTTTTTATTTGGCACTCGCGTGCTTGGTGAAACATAATAAAGATGAATTTAATCGATGAGTTTCAAGTAAGATTGGTTGAATCTTCTTAAGCTAATACGGACGCAAAAAGTGTTAAAATCTGTGCATGGGCTAACACTCCGTAGTACTCTGTAGAAACAAAGCAATAAAAAGTAAAAAAATAATAACTACAAGCTGTTTTGTTCCCGATTAATTAATTATTCATTTTTTCAACTAAACGAATGGATCAAACATTATCAATTTGTTCTGAATTTATACCTGATCGCCGTTCAGTTACGACCAGCTCATCAGAACTAAACTATCGTTTCACCTCAGTCGTTGTAGCGTTTTTCTTTATATTCTCTGTTAATGTCATCATGTGATGCGTTTATTTTAATTAATGACGCACTATTTAATACGTTCGTTCGTATGTACAAAGTTCATGTAGAAGAAATATCTCCTTCTATAGAACTTGTACATTTATAGATAGTTCAAAAGCCTAAAAACAAAGATAAAAGTAACTTCAGGAATTTTTTCCTCAGCTATAGTAAGGATTGAAAAATTTTTGTATGATCTATGTCGACATAGATCAAAGGTAGCAAATTTTCCCGAATACACATTGGATATTGATAACTAAACTACTTTTCGAATTCACTCTCACACTGCCCTCATCGACATAGGAAAAATTTTCAGTCTCTAACATTGCTGAGGGAAAAATTCCTATGGTCTATGTCGACATAATGGCGGTTCGTATAAATGACGTATCACGACATTTTCTCTATACTATGAAACAGATATATCTTATGAACATGTCCTCTTGACTAAAACAAATCTCAAGCAGTACTAATAAATACGCTATGCGAATGCTATTTATTCATGTGCTTAACCCATTGGAACTTTTCGAAATTAATGCGAACTAATTTAAAAAAGTCTTATATTAAATTAGTTCACATTAAGTTTTTCCTGATTAAAAACCAGTTTGAATTCATTTAACTTGATAAATTAATTCAAATAAATTGAATTTAAATCAGTTCGAATTAGTTTATCAAGTTAAATGAATTCAAACTGGTTTTTAATCAGGAAAAACTTAATGTGAACTAATTTACTATGAGACTTTTTAAATTAGTTCGCATTAATTTCAAAAAAAATTCAATGGGAAAAGAATTACACACAAAAAACAAATTTTATTCAATGTGTGTCATTCTATCTCCACTGGATGTATAATACCCAGTATCATAGGCGGCGGAGCCACTAGGCTTGGTAAGGCTCAAGCCTTACCCCAATTCGGCCCTCTTAGGCTCAGCCTCAATATTAGTTTTCCACTAGGGATTTTTTATTGATCATACATTTAGTGCGTGACTATACAATCACGCAATTCTTTTCTTTTTGTCTTTTTCTGTTGCCACATATACAGTTTAGTTTTGCGGCTGAGTATTTTGTTTGACTCAGTAAATTTTTGAAAAGTGAGTCTTATCCCATATGAAAACGTTCCGCCGCCTCTGCCCAGTATAAAGCTGCTCCTATCGTCTAAGAAAAAGCGCCTGATATTCTGCTGTTTTTCTCCTAATTTTTTAGAAAAAATCTCCTGATCAGCTCCTTATGTTTAAAAACTCCTGATTTCGAAAGATTGGATTTGAGCACCCTAATACACACGTGTATTTTATATAACAATGTTTGTAAAGGAAGAAAGAATGACCGTTGTGTATATAGACTAAAACCTTTCTCTTTACAAACGCACATAACCTCACCATCTTTTCTTAATATAGTGCGAAACTGTAGATTGGGACTCAGCCATTCCGCCTCATTCACAGGATGCTAGAATGTAGCAGCCTAGAAGCAATATACTGTTAGAGTTCAATATTAATGCAACAAGAAATACGCGCGTCTAGCAATAAATCATCGATCTTTGGTGCTATCTTGATTTTCGTTACATCTCTCTCATCTTCCGTTTATGTTATAGTTATACTTACTTTTTTCATAATTTTCCTAATTAACAAACAGTTTGGTGTTATCTTGTGTAGTTCTTATGATTTTCAGATGATTGTTTTTGCATTCGATAGAGGAGATGCTTATGTAGAGATGCATGTAGAGATGCATAGACAGAAGATTTTATCAAAGTTTTTAGTCTCAAGGTGTCATAAATAATTTTAAAATTAATTTAGCGCATAAAATATATTCAAATTAATATTCTATATAGTGTAAAGCCAATATGATAGTTTATCCACTGGAATAATGAGCTAATTTTCACATATGTAATAGAGTTCAGCAGTCTGAAGAACTTTGTCACTTGGTCTAATACCAACTTCGGTTTCTGAGAGACCGTAGACGTTTGTCTCTGAGCATCCCGTGTATTTCAGTGGAGTATCTCTATTTACCCCGAAGAAATTACACGAGTGTCTCTAATTACCCCAAAGCATAAAAAAAACAAAAAAACATTTCTGGTGCTGTTGATTATATGCTAATTAGCTTAATGAGTTTAAATGATAATGAGCTCAAAACTATATGGTAGAGAGAGGAAGGGCGAGGCTATAAAATTAGGTATTTTTGAACTAATTATCTTCTAAGCTTAATTCACTAGTAATTGTACATTAAAACTCCATGTATTTGAATGGAGTGTCTCGATTTACCCCAAGCGTACAAGTGAAGTGTCTTCAATTACCTCGTACGGGGTAATTAGAGACGCTTTGATGGAGCTCTTCGCATTTTTGACCAGGTTCAAAATTGGCCGGAGATTTTCAATAGATTTTTACATGAGCGTGTAGAAAGATGTTCGGTCTACCACCGTGTTCAACAGCAAGTTTTTCCGATCAAAACTGGCCAAAAAATAGCAGAAAAAGGATGAAAATTTCAAAGAGTGTCTCTAATTACCCCGAAATACTCTATAACTCGATAGAAAAACAGGAACAAAAGTAATAATTATTCTTTACTCGCTCTATTATTTGCTTCTTCTATTTTTTCTTTTTTATGTATACCGTCACGTATCGCTTGAAGGTGTTCTGTTTGCGTCTTGCGTTCTTCTGACTCAATTATTTTTTTATTCAGGTAAGAGGAAGAGTGTGAATAACGAGTACACATTTATTCGTTATTGACAGCATGGATTCACGCAAGTATCAGCAACCATCTACTCCGCCGCCGCCTTACTATTCCGTCGTCAATGATAATCGACAGGAACATCGTTCCGATCAACATTCAAATCGAAATTATCCCGAATCACGTGAAGCGCCCGATTTCAATGAGTTCGTCAGACGCTATGAAAGTGAGTGTTTCTCACAGTGCACGTTGATTCATTAGAAAATTATGTGCCGACTCCCTGCCGAATCAAATTTGATGAAACTAAGATGGTATATCCAGACTTTCAAGGCGAATCTGACAGCGAGCTTCTCATAATTCTATTTTGCATTTTTCACGTGTCGCCACGATCTTTCGTAGAGTAAGTTTAAACATTTTTTCTGTTCTCCCGTTTTTTCTTTTTTCTCTCCGTTCTTTTCTCTTTCGCAAGCACATTTTGTCTTATTTTTCTCGTTTGTATAGACGATAGATTCGAACATCGAGTAACTCATAGAACAAAATTTATTCTAAATTAGTTTTTTTATATAAATACCTAAAAGTTCAAATCAAGCAGAAATAGTGATGAACTAAAATTTTTACATGAAAATACTATCCCTGTCATTTTTTACACTTTTCTCTAACAAACATAATTGCTCGTACCACTCTCACCGTAAAAACCAAGATTTCGATAATAAAAATTTCCCTCTCTTATTCTATTTGTTTTGGCATGAGAAACAAAAAATGTCATTATATATTTTATTATTAAAATCTTGACTTTTACGATGCGAAAAGTGATACGAGCAATTATGTTTGTTAGAGAAAAGTGTAAAAAATGACAAAGATGGTATTTTCATGTAAAACTTTGAGTTTATCCTTGTTTCTGCTTGATTTGAACTTTTAGGTATTTATATAAAAAAACTAATTTAGAATAAATTTTGTTCTATGAGTTACTCGATGTTCGAATGTATCGTCTATATAACGAGAAAAATAAGACAAAATGTGCGTGGGAAAGAGAAAAGAACGGAAAGGAAAAAGAACTTTACAAAATTGCAAAGACCGTGGCGACACATGAAAAATTCAAAATAGAATTATAAGAAGCCCTCTGTCGGATTTATCTTGAAATTCTGCATACACCGTCTTAGTTTCATGAAGTTTGGTTCGACACACATAATTTTTAATGATAAGCATATTAATGCATTTAGTCAATCCCACTTTTGCTGAAAGATTACACGGACTTAAAGGTTACGAGATCGTCTTTATCTGCGACGATTCAGGTTCGATGAGTGCGCCAGTTGGTGAGTTATCATTACGTCTTCAGTTTTTGTCTCTCACCTATGTACTGACTTTTTGATTCTTCAGGAGAAGTTACTAATCCATATGAAAAACAAAGGACACGCTGTAAGATCTATTATAGTGCGGTAACGACGTGTCGATATCAGTTCTATTGCCGTTTTCAGGGGATGAGTTAAAGCAAACAGTATCGATTGTTGTCGATCTGGCCAGTGTTCTTGATCCTGATGGTGCTGACGTCTATTTTCTCAATCGTGAGCCCATGTTGCATGTGCACAATTCGTCGGAGTTAGAAAACATCTTTGCTATGGAACCAGAAGGTAGATGAGAAGTTAGGATCTTGATCGATGACTGTTGTCTGAATCATTTTTTATGTTCAACGCCGATTGTGCCCGTTCTTCGACAAGTACTTAAAGACAAGCGTAACCATATTTACGAGCGCAAGTTGCTCATTCTCCTAGCCACTGATGGTGTGCCAACAGATGAACAAGAACGTTCGGACATTCGTACACTTGAACATGTTCTCATAAACGAACGCAAACCTACCAATCAGATTCCAGTCACGATCATTGCATGTACAGGTAGATTGAAAACATCAGAGCAAACCCGTGCGATTCTCTCTGTTGCCCTAAATCCTCTCACAAGTTTCGAAACATACTAGTCAATGTCTTGTTATTCGTTTTAGACGACGACCAGTGTATGGGGTACTTGAACGATTGGGACAAAAAGATTCCGAATCTCGATGTTGTCGACGACTATCGAAGTGAAAAGAAGGAGATTCAAGCCTGCCGTGGCAGAGATTTGCCATTCAGTTTCGGTGATGTAAGTCACATTGATCGTTGGATCACTATTTTCTGTCTCTTTTGTTTGTAGTACATAGTGAAAATTCTGATGGGTGGTATCGACAGTTGGTTCGATGATTGGGACGAAAAGAAAGTTACAGCGGATAATCAGGGACGATCTAATACAGCAGCGTATGGTTATTCGGGCAGTGGCAACTCGAAATATCCATATTCTTAAAATACTTTCGAATAGTGGTCTAGCATTTTTTGCCATTTTGATCGATTTTTTCTCGCAATCCCTGTCCGCATACTCTCGAAGGTCTATTATCTGATTCGAAATTTTCTCTTCGAATGTGTTTTGATTTTTCTACACAAATAAAATAAGCTTATTGGATCGATCGAGTGTGGCATCAATAGTAGAAAAGAAACTCTCAAACATAAATTAGAACGAATCGACATGAAAACATACAGATTCACTGTTTCGTTTCAACACAAAGCGTTCCTTTTGTTTGTTTAAAGTAAAAGTCCTCTAAGTATTCCACTTGCTTGGCTGGCTAAATTGAATACAGAACACAGAAGAATATCGTAGAAGACTTTACGATAAAATGGAAGTTATGTGGTATGATAAACCCAGAAATCGATATGAATAGTACCTGCGAGGTTTCGAAAGAGGAACATGCACTTGATGGATATATTTTACTATTTTAAATAAGGTTCTAGTAGATTTCTGTGAGACACTGGTCGCTAAAAGTTGAATATCTTCCAGAGCTAAACACTGGAGACTAATCCACAGAACTACACTTTGATGTATGGTGATGCCGCAATAGACTGTTTTTCCTACTTTGTGCATATTTTCCTCGAAGTGCTGAAAGAATTTTTGAAATATTTATTATCGAAGATGACTTTTATTCTCAACACTGGTTCGTAGATTGTTCTTCAAAATCAAAAAAATGTCTTGGCTCATTTAATTAAACGATCATAGCCCCAAAATATCAAAAAGATGAAGCAATGTTTTAGTTCTCACTGTTCAGCGTAGCAAAAATATAAATGCTCACCTCTGTTCAGCCTAGGGCTGAGAAATTATTGTTATTCCAATGTGGAGACATATCCCGATCGGAATGTACTCCTAATCGGGATATCATTTTTTACAGCAAATTTTTTTGATATCCCGATCACGATATAATTCGATATCCCGATTGAGATATCAAAAGAATCTACAGTGGTTTGTGCCTTACTCTTATAATTCATCCTCATAAGGCGTCCAGGTTCGATTCCTGGAGGAGCTGTTCTTTGTTTCTTCTCTTTCAAAGTAGACGGCTTTTTTTCCACTGTGTTAGCTTCGATATTTGTCGCAATAAAAACGATGTATGACGATTCATCTATATCACTCTAAAAAAAAGTCGTAGATTAATAAACTACAATAAAAGAGTTTTTTGGACCAAAAGACTGATCAAAAAATCCAAAAGAGCTTTTTAACGGGTATTTTAGGCCAAAAACTAAAAAGCGTTCGTGGTCGTTTCAAAATGAAAAACTCACGGTATTTGGGAGAGTTTTTTAAGTCTAAAAAACCCTGTTAGTTTTTTCCTCGGTTTTTTAAAATGATCAAAAAGCTCTGTGGTTTTACAGCCGAATACAAAAGTGAGTATTATAACTGTGTATAATAATAATCTAAACACAGTAAAGGTTCAAACACTTTTTCATGTTATTTTAAATGTATTTCATTTCATAGTGCGCTGAAGAACGTGCTTTTTCGATGAATGTGTACTATTACAGTTTCGAAAATACTACTAATTTATGATTTTTAAAAATTTTGCTGAATAATCTAAACATTGCTGTTGACTTATATTGTCTTTTCTTTTATTTAATACTGTTCATTCTATAAGTACATTTTGTATCATGGACACCAACTTGCATTACACATTAAAATTACATAATTCTTTCAAAGACTAAGAACTATTTGTTCGTATCTGTACTTGAAGCTATGCACTTCGATGCAGGTCAAAAATATGCTATCTATTTCCTAATGATTTATTCTATCTTCCTTTATATTTTTCTTCTGTCCGCATCATACTGTTTCATTCAAGCCTACAAAATGTGATTAAGGTCAATTGACGTACATCCTTTTCCTTATTACTAAAAGTGAAATTTTTGTATTTTTGTTCTATTCAATACTAATGCATAACCACCAGCTTGTCTTACAATCATTATCTGGTTTTATTTAAGATTACTAAAAAGACATTGTTTTTTCTTATATAAATGATACTAAAATCATTGATTGAATCACTAGTCATCGTTATAGCATAAAAAATGCGTACTACATTCATCTGTTTTACGTTAGTGAGTTATTTGTTCAATACTTAATGTTATTCATGCTCAATTTTTGCTTCATTTTAGTTCTGTTTTGTATTGGGTCTCACTACAGCATGGTCACGACACGGTGGTGGACGGGGTAGAGGTGGTTATGGTTCCTTTCAACGTATTTGTCAGTTAGCTCAATCCAATGTAACACAAGCCCAAATACTCTATATTCAAGGTCAACTATTATTAACAGCATTACAAGCGAATAGTTCATATACAACCTTGTTAAATTCCTATACTCGAACAGTTGCTTATATAAAAAATTCAGCAAATCAACAGTTATTTTTTAATAATTGTGCATTATTTGTTAACGGTTTGCAGCAGTCGATGATGCAAGATAAAACATTAAGTAAACAATTAAAATCGAATATTCGACAGCAATTCACTCAGCTATTAATAACTGTGTTTGGCAACAGTCAATGGTATTGGTAATCTATGAATTTCATATAAATTTTAGTTTTTTGCATTGACAATTTAAACTGGACAGTTACAGTATCTGTTTTTTGTTTCCAAAGTCCCTTATACATTTTCTCTAATATGTTTATTGAATATACTATAAAAATGTATTTCTTGAAGTCCACAACCGTTGATTTACTTTTCAAGATATTGGAAACTGTCTGGTTTACACATATTTCATCACCTTCTACTAAGACTCAGCTCAAAATGATCGACTTGTCTCTGCGTTTTTTCTGTAATGACTTACGCAGATTTTGCCATATTCAATAAACCGATAAATGTATCATTTTAGAAGTGAGAAGCTTTCTTATTAGGAAATAAGGCAGTGAACAGGATATATAAAAGAAGTTTTGACTGTCAAAGACAATTTTTTGGAAAGAGCGACTGAATAATATGTACTAACCGCTATTCAAACATGAAATAAGATGTTCCTAGTCTTGTGTCTTCCGGCTCAAAACGTCTAGGAGAAATATTACATGGCTGAAAGAAGGTGTGTGACGTTGATCGAAGAATCTACTAAACACTGGAATACATTTCTATTTGAAGATGAACTTTTCCACCGAGTTAAACTGCGAGAAACACCAATTAAATAAAATTTTAAACCTTTCATCTGAGCAAACATTAAATTTATAGTTTTAGTTTAAACTAAAAATGTGGTGAAAATGTTTGCCACGTAGTGCGATCTTTTTAACTATTTCGAACAAAAATTTTCTGCACAAACTCTTATATCATAAATGAAAAATGTAGCATTTGATTCTTGATGTGTATGCTTGAGAAAACCTGTTTAAAAACAAATTAAGTCGGTAGAATTATGTTTCACAATCTTTAGATTTAGTCAGATCTACTCTGATCAAAGACTATGCTCTATAATACTAATTTCGACATCAAAAATCGTTTTTCTGTGGATATTATTGCCTCAATCCAAAAGTAAATACATCATACTTACATTTCAAGGCAATTCATACAAATTCTCACCTCGTATAAACGCAAGGGGGAAACAGCGGACTCCAGACGCATGGAGTCATTTGGAGTCAAGTGGAGTCAAGTGAAGTCACTTGATGCGTTGGAGTTAATTGATGAAGGGGGAATCAGGTGATAGGGTGGAGCCCACGAGAGAAATAGCATACTAGATGGGATCCCGGTCTTGTGCAGTCACTTGGAGTCAAGTAGAGTCACCTGATGTGGTGTACTCAGAAGGTAAAATAAAAGATCCTATGAGATTCGATGGAGTCTGATGGACTCCGGGGATGTGATGGCTTATTTCAAC